CTATATATTCTTTATATATAAATTTGTAACTCAGGGTTGATTATTTTGAAAGGACCAACACTCATATGGATATATAATTTCAGTTATACTTGTTAAGAGCTATGTATCACATTGCCTTATATCAATCCATCCAGTTTGTGTCCTTTAGCAGTTGAAAACATCTTGTTCTATTTGTGTTTTTTTTAAAACAATCAAAATGGAGTAACAGTACCATATACATTTATCTTTCATTCTTAGGTCTGTACATATACACAGCATTATGAAAGCATTGTCAAAAAATGTTTTTCTCTTTCTTAATGAATTACTTCACTTTGACTTCTCCTATATTTAAAAACAGAAATGTACCATTTTCACAAACTATTTGAGCCATAAGGTTAAGGAATGTATAACAGTGCAATCTGATTCTGATTGCTTTACTTTATTGTCGTTAAAAACTTTAAGGATGTTTTAGTTTAAACTAAAACACATTTAATCACATCCAATATTCCTTATACTTTAGGATACTTTAAGTTTTTCTGCTATTAACTGTTGAAGAGCTTTATTTTTCAATAAACTAAAAACATCTCAACCATATGAGTCTCTACAAGACATTGTCACTAGTTTGATCGCACTCTTTTTCTTGTCCAAGACTAAGGTGTCACTGAAAATTAAGTTTAGACCATGGACCGGGAAATTTTCATTTCTCTTTCATCAGCCACTTTCATGTTACTTGCATTGTCAGCCAAGTAAATACTTTCCCTTTTTCTTTCATTTATGCATATCTTACTACTGATATACATTTAAGTATATCTTACTACTTACTACTGTTTCAGTATGTCTTTTAATGACAAAGTACAGCTGACCCAAGGTATTATCTCAAGAAGTTGAGTACTTGAGTTCTTGCTGCACATTTCTTCATCAGTAAGCATTGTAAGAATTTTTTTTTTCTTTGTTTTATCCTATAGTCCAGGGGTCCTCAAACTTTTTAAAGTGGGGACCAGATCACAGTCCCTCAGAGAGCTGGAGGGCCAGACTATATGAACTACTAATTCCTACTGTAACACCTCGGCTGCGCTCACTGCCCAAAAAACCTGGCGGGCCGGATCAGACTCCTCTGCAGGCTGCATGTGGCCTGCGGGCCGTAATTTGAAGACCCCTGCTAGTCAGTTTGAACCTGGTGGTTTCTTCTAAATAAAAATAGGCTGCATAATTTAAAATTTTGCTGCCAGGGAAGGACCAGTTATACTTCCAGTAACCATGCTATTTTAATAGAATGTACTAACAATTGAAATTGTTACTGTGAATTAGTTATTTTTTTGTTTCTTTTGGGGGAGTGATAAAAGAGCCTACATCATAGGGTATTTTTTAGGGTCAAGTGAATTAGTTTCACATAAAATGTTTAGAATGCCTAGCACATAGTGAAGCATTTGATAAATGTGATCTATCATTACTTATCTTTTTCGTTTACCCATTGGACAGTCCTTTATGATAATGCAGTAGCAGATGGAAAACCAAGGATGTTGCACAGAGCTATTTGCCCTTTTTCCCACCTCTCATCTTTTTAAAAATGTATTCATAATTTACCTTAAGGAAGTATATTACAAAAACTATATTAAGGCCCCAATACATTCTTGTTCAGTAACATATTATGAATTTGCATATTTTATAGTATTGTATATCATGCATAACTTGAAATATGAGACACTGCATTTTATATTCATATATATATTTTATTTATTTTATTTTTTTTAATATGGAACTCTTCACGAACCTGTGTATCATCCTTGTGCGGGAACCATGCAATTTCTATATTGTTCCAACTTCAGTCTATGTGATGCAGAAGTGAGCAACATTATAGTTTAGTCATTTTCCTGAAGGGTATTTGAAAATATATATACTTGGGTATTGGTTTATATATTCAGGGGATGGCAAAGGGAGGTATAAGTTTGAGGTAACTAACAGGTACCCAAAAGAGACTATAACCAAAAGGGACTTATTTAACTCACACAAAAAGGAAGTCCAGTGTAGTCAATCGAGGCTTGTAATGAACTCTGTACTTTCACTCTATCAATCTTAGCATGTAGGCCTATCTTGATGCCTATTGCCACAAAATGCAAGATCGCTGCTCTACCTCCATCTTCATGTCCAGGTGCAGACCAGAAGAAGAGAGAATGATTAAAAGGAAAAAGCAGGAGTAATGTTTACATTAAGAAAGTATGAGTTTTCCCAGAAACCCTCTACATTATTGGTCAGAACTGTCATTTGGTGCCTTCCCAGACAAAAATCAGACTTGTTAGTAAAGAAGGGGGAATGGGTGCATAATCTATAACAGTAGACTATGCATGTGAAACTGCACCATCTTAATTTCTATAGCTCTTCCAGTCTTACTCCATTTGTGCTGTTATTACAGAACTGGAAGCCCGATGCACGAAGATTTGTGCTAGAATGGGCTTTCCTTTCCCTGACTGCCAGCACTGCCTTTCCACTCCGGCCCAGCCCCTTCCTGTTCAGGCCCCAGAGCTGCTGCTTTCCACTCTGACCCCACCTTCCCACATTGCCCAGAGGCCCTGAGAGACCAGGGATGGGGCAGAATGCCAGCATTGTCGACAATGCAAGCATCCTGCCCCATCACTCTGCACGAGTGTATGCAAATTAACCACCATCTTTGTTTGGTTAATTTGCATACCACTCCTGATTGGGTGGTGGCTTAGTGGAGGTACAGTGAATTTGCATGTTTATTATTAGGTAAGATGTAAGATGCCATATACTGTGTGGCTTATCAAAAACATGGTATTGAGACGAAGAAGGCCAAGATCAAGAAGCTGGCAAGATTTGGTGTCTGGGGAGGGCCTGCTTCTTGGCTGTAGGCTGCTGTGTTCTCACAGGGTGGAAGGGCAAAGAGCTCTCTAAGGCACCCTCTTTACATCATCATCTCCCAACGGCCCCCTCCTTCATACTATCACATAGGCATAGGGATACAGGAATACTGGGGGAGGTAAAAACATCTATGGTATACCCTCATATTTCTACAGGGCTTTCACATCTGTTGTCTCCTTTGATACTGCACCACTGATGGATTAATGTGCTCCTTTCTAGAAGGGAGGAAAAGGGCCAGGGAGGTGAAGTAATTTGCTCAACATTACCCAGATAGAAATTCAGCCTTTTCCATTACTCAGCTCTTCCGAGCTAACTGGAAACACCTTTCAGTTTTGTAGGCCAGTAGCTGATTTTGAAGGAATGTTTACATAACTTATGAAAACAAATGCAATGTAAATATAACTGCAGTGTTGCACGCTTAGTAATCCATCAGTGGGAAGAGCCTGCTATAAATACTTGGAGTGATTTAGCTTAACGGGGGAGGCAGCCACCTGGAGCAAGAAAAGAAACGACCCACTTCACCAGAGGAATTGACCTTTCATGGCTTCTCACCCGAGTTCCCTCTAGAGGACACTGCTGCCGCTAACAGTCTCAAAGATCCAGGTGAAGGTGAAAAGTGAAAAAGAAACCAAATTATTGCCATTACCTTGCTACATTTAGGCTGAAACCACCATTCTGGAAGAATCTAGATAACATTCTGTTTAGAAATATCTGACTCTTGAGTCAGATTTGGTATCAGCAAAGCCACATTTATTTATTTATTTATTTATTTATTTATTTATTTATTTTTTGCCACATTCTTATAGGGAGAAAACAAGGTTAGGTATCTTCCCAGCTTCCAAGTGCTCCAGAAGGCCCATCTCCCTGTAGTCATTTTTATTCTATAAAATTTTCTTCAAGCACACAAGAATACATTCTCATTAATTTTAGCAATTCAGATAAAAAGTATTCTCAACACAAGTCCCTTTCCCAAAAGAAAACGTACCTTTTTCTATTACGTATAGATATTGATAGTTAAGAAAACCAAGCAGTTCTTGAAAGGTGTATAAAAATAAGTGATAATTAAAAGCAAGCCACCCTGTCGTCAATTTTACTATTATTTTGATCTTCTTTATAGTCAATGTACACCCTTATGCCTGCATCTGGGACACAAGGCTCCTAGCACCCAACCCTTGATATTCCATTGTATCTATCTCCACTCTATTTATAAACGAGTATGTCCAAAATTGAATTTATTTGCCACCATAAACCAGCTAATGTATTTTCTAGCTGTCAGAATGTTGCATTATGTTATCTGTCACTTTCCCCACAATTAGACGGAGGTCTTACAAGAGAAAGAGTACTGGTATATCTGCATTTCGAAAACGGTTCAGCCCTGGCTGGTGTGACTCAGTTGATGGGAGCACCAACCATGCACCGATTTGATTCCAGGTCTGAGGTTTGATCCCCGAATACGGGATGCAAACGACGGATGTCTCTTTCTCATATTAATGTTTCTCTCTCCCCCTCTCTTCCAATCTCTCTTAAATCAATACAAACATATCCTGGCGTGAGGATTAAAAAATGTTCAATGACTAGTGCTTCTCCATGTGAGGCTGATGTCACTTTCCTCTCTCATCTGAAAGAGCAACAGATGTACTGCACAGACTTAGCACTTGCAGCTCAGTCACTTATCTGGTGCGGGGGCCACTACAGTGCATACATCCGGGCTCTGTCCTCCCGTGATACTGTGCTCAGTTGAGGAGAGGCCGCGCCACGGGAGAACCGGAGAAGAAAGGCCTGGGAGCAGGAATGTTGGGGTTTAGCAGAAGGGATTGGTGGAGGGAGGGACCATAGAGTAGCGGCGGTCGGGCCTAGGTAACATTTCAGAGGGGGCTCAACAGAAGTCTCAACCCCGCTTTGTAGAGCCTCTGCCATTTCCATATCACAGTTTCTACAAGATTAGAACTCCCGCACTCGGAAGGGGGCGCCGGGCGGGGCGGGGCGGGGCGGGGCGGGGCGGGGCGGGGCGTGGGAGCGCGAGTGTAGTCGGGCGGAGCGCCGCGCTTCCGCTGAACGTCCGGGTAGGGGCACGCACGCCGCCGGAAGCGGAGGGCGGCGGAGCCACGCCCCCAGCCGCGGCGTCACCGCCCCCACCGCACGCTGCGCAGGCGGCGCTGAGGCGAGGCGGAAGGGCAAGGAAGGAGGTGACGATGAAAGTGAGCGCCGGCTCCAGCAGCGGTTCCGAGGGAAGCTCAGCGGCCGTGGGCGCCGGGAACAGGCCGGACACCTCGCTGACGGGCTGACCCCGGTGCTGGCGAGGGCGGGGCCGCGGAGCGGGCTGCCGCAGTGTGCGGGCCCGCGGCGGGCCGGGTGAGGACTGCGAGGCACGGAGGTAAGCGGGAGCCGCGGTGTCCGTTCGGCCAGATGACAGCCCCCTGGCCGCTCCCGCGCCGTGCGCGCCAGCTCAGCACCCCGGCCTGGAGGCCGCAAGCGCTGCCCTCCTCCCTCCCACGTCCGCCACGGAGGCAGCGGATCTCCGGGGGCCGCTGCTCTACCTTTCTCGGGGCGGGAGGGAGCTCGTCCCTGGGGACCGCCGTCCTCTGTGTCTCGCCAGTTCGAGCTGATCGACGCAGAAGCAGGAAAAACTAGCGCCCCCGGCAGCCCCTCCTGAAGGTAGGGAAAGCGTTGAGAGAAAGAATTGCTGCTAGAGGACCTCCAGCCCCTGCCGCCTTGAAAGTCAAGGGTTTCTATTTATTCGGACAGGTCTGCTTCTTCCCTGCCGTTGGCTCCCCATTCCCCCATCACACACACACACACACGTTTCTGGGACCCTGGGCTAGTGAACGTGCCTGGCACAATGAATATTAGGGCGGTGGGAGCGTGGTTTTCCATTCTGCCTTAGCTGGGCAGTAGCAACCCCGGTTCCGCTGCCTGGCCGGCCACGCTGTTGGGAGGGATGCGGAAGAGGATGTGAGAAGCGTTTTACAATTCAAGTCAGAAGAGCTGGGTTGAAATCCTAGCCTGCCGTTTGGTAGTGGCTTTAATCTCGTGCTAGACACTATGGCATTTTTAACGGCATGTGAAGTGGAGCTTTCTTTTTTTTCTTTTCTTTTTTTTTTAAAATATATTTTATTGATTTTTTTACAGAGAGGAAGGGAGAGAGAGAGAGCTAGAAACGTCGATGAGAAACACCGACCAGCTGCCTCTTGCACACCCCACATCGGGGATGTGCCCGCAACCAATGTACATGCCCCTGACCAGAATCGAATCCCGGACCCCTCAGTCCGCAGACCGACGCTCCACCACTGAGCCAAACCGGTTTCGGCTGAAGTAGAGCTTTCTTATACCTGTGTAAATTCGTAATGAGAATTCAACGAAATGAAGAAAGTAAGAGCGTTAAATTAATAATGAAATGTTTGGGGGAATTCTTAAATCTCGGTTTAAGAATATCCGGGACATAAATGTAGGTTCCTAATTATGTATTTTATCCAGAATAACTAAGCTTAGTATGAAGAGGGGTGCCAGAGGAGATACTAGGATCTTGTATGGTTAGATAGACCCTGCTTTGGATTGGCCAGCATTAGGAAGAAGTCAGTCTCCTAGTCACCCAGATGCCTCATGCTTATTCATGAAACATTATTAGTGTATGAAGAATGACCCAAGCCACTTTTGCCCCTTATTCAGAATAACTCTGCCCACTGGGTTCTTTCTAGGAGAAAACTGGAAGGGCTTTCATTTTGGAAGAATTCTTTTCACGTATTTCAGAGGACCCCTCACTCTGCCCTAAAACATTTCATGTTAATTGAAAATGTTGCAGATAATAAATAGAGGGATTTGAATCCTTTGAGTGCCTGGGCATTACAGTTCTAAGTCAGTCTGGAGAGAAGAACATTCACTACTCTGAAATTTAATAGACCCTATGTTGGAGAAGTATTTGAGAGGAGGGATGGGAGATCCAGTCAGTGACTTCAGTGAGTAGTCTCTGTTCTTATAATTGCTTGTTCAGACAAATTCAGAATGCTTTCTTTTCTTGGTGGGATGTGATGATGGCTGCTGTGCAGTATGTAACCAAGTGCTGTCTTCAGTGCTTTTGACAGAATTGTCAATTTGGAACTTTAAGACATGGATAAGAAGTGGACATTGAGAGTCATCAATCCAGTGGTTCCAAGACTTGGCTGGACATTAGAGACAGTCGGGAATTAAAACAAAACCCCAGGAGCCTGGACACTACTTTAGTGGATCTGAAGAGGAACCTGGGCATTCGTAGTCTTTAAAAAGCTTCTCAGGTTACTCAAGGTTTGAAAACACAAATATAGATCAGGTTTCACACTTTAGTTTATAAACAGACTCAAAGATGAGTGTCATGCCCAAATAATTTAAAAAAATATATATATTTTATTGATTTTTTTTACAGAGAGGAAGGGAGAGGGAGGGAGACAGAGTTAGAAACATCAATGAGATGCCGAGATCGGTTTGGCTCAGTGGATAGAGCGTCGGCTTGGGGACTGAAAGGTCCCAGGTTCGATTCCGGTCAAGGGCATGTACCTTGGTTGCGGGCACATCCCCAGTAGGGGGTGTGCAAGAGGCAGCTGATCAATGACTCTCTCTCATCGATGTTTCTAACTATCTCTCTCCCTTCCTCTCTGTACAAAATCAATAAAATATATATTTAGAAACATCAATGAGAGAGAAACATTGATCAGCTTCCTCCTGCACATCCCCCTTTGGGGATGTGCCCCCAGCCAAGGTACATGTCCTTGACTGGAATCGAACCCAGGACCCCTGAGTCCACAGGTTGACGCTCTGTCCACTGAGACAAACCAGCCAGGGCTAATTTATTGCCTTCTTAATATTTTTCTCTTTCTTTTTCCTTTCCTTAACAAATGATCTCACTTGAATCAATAGTACTATTTCAGGTTTTGTAGTGCTTTGAGCCCAGAACTTAAAAACAAATTATTTAAGTCAGTATATGCAATTTAGTTTTTATAGCTTTCTATGCAGTTAGATTCCTTAATACTCTCTGATAAAAGTAGATTTTACAGTAAAATTTCTTACTAAATGTTTAGGTTTGTTTGTTGGAAGAATAATTTTAATTAAATTTTTTTTAAAAAATATATTTTATTGATTTTTTACAGAGAGGAAGGGAGAGAGATAGAGAGCTAGAAACGTCGATGAGAGAGAAACATCGACCAGCTGCCTCTTGCACACCCCCCACTGGGGATGTGCCCGCAACCAAGGTACATGCCCTTGACCGGAATCAAACCTGGGACCTTTCAGTCCGCAGACCGACGCTCTACCACTGAGCCAAACCGGTTTCGGCTAAATTTTTAATAGTTTTTTTGCCAGCCTTCATAAACCATGGGAAAATTCCATTTTGTGAATATTTTGCTTTTGTATTGGCTTATCGATCGTAAACCCAGTGCACTATATACAGACTCCCTCCCTCCCCCTATTCTGGTATGCATGACCACTTAACTTTGCGTCACTAGCCAGCTTCCTAAGAGGAACTCAGTTTGAGAATTGAGCTCTATATTGCCTTGTAAACACCTGATTTAACTAAAGGCTTTCACTATTTGCTTTACGCTTGTCCTTGAATTTTTACTTTCTTTCCTTGGTTAAATAGTACTGTGCTACTGATTTTAAAATTTTGATAGATGTCAAGAAAGCATCAGCTAATGAGGTGGTAACAGTGCCTCATGTGTATTTTTCTTATCGTTTATAGTGAAAAGCTTATGACTATTTTGTGCGGGAGAGGGGTGGTTAATATCGTATTTTCCGGCGTATAAGATGACTTTTGAAACGAAAAAAAGTCAACCGAAAATCGGGGGCAAAAGACCAAAATTGCACAAAAATTACCTGCAGATCTTGACGACAAAGTAAGTCTTTTCTTTGAAGTGAGGGGTAGTCTTATACAGCGAATATAGGCCTAAACCTATGTTTTAATTGTAAAATTAGGGGGTCGTCTTATACGCCGGAAAATACGGTATTTAAATAATTATTAAGGTAATAGGCCATCAGGAAAATATATTCACCCTCAGATTATTCTTTGATAGTCTTCTCATTGCTCCAGTAAATTTCTATTCTGTTAGTAGTAAAATCAGAAATGAACACTATATCACAAATCTTCTAAAGCAGAGGTGGGGAACATCGGGCCTGCAGGCCAAATACAGCCCACAAAATCATTTGGTCTGGCTCTGGGAAGGCATTAGCGGTGAGTTAATTAAATGTTTGACCAGAGAGAAACCAAAATGGTGGCACAGGTAAACACCTGAACTTGCTGCCTCGCACAACAACTTCAAAGCTACAACTAAAAGACAAAATGGACATCATCCAGAACCATAGGAAGCCTGGCTAAGTGGAAATTCTACAACTAAAAGGGAAGAGAAACACACACTGAGACTCAAAGGAGCTGCGGAAGTAAAGTGCAGAGGTACAGAGGCGTGAACACTTGTGTGAAGAGGGCAAGCAACTGAGTACACGGCTGTCTTTTTCAAGCGGGAGGGAGATAAAAGCTGCCAACTGCTCTGAACTCCAGTTCTGGGTGAGACTCTGGGGACCCAGACTCATACTAGGAGAAACTCGACTGTCTGGCAGCAGGCAGAACTCGAGGGTGGCTTTCTCTCAGAGGTGCTTGCAGTGATTACCAAGGGACACTGAGATCCTGGGGCCTCTTAGGGCAGGGCTGACAGAAAGCCATTGCTGTCTGCTCTGCCCTGAGACTGCCCCATCCAAGCTGTGTGCAGAGGCTTTTACATATGATTGGCTTGGTCCTTTGAAATCTAAACTTACCTAACAAACTGCAGCAGAGTGAGTGAGACCCAGAACATCCAAAAAGCCTAAGGCCCCACAGTAGCTTGCATTACTTCACAGCTGGGCCTCATCTGGGCACCTCCAAAATCCAAACAAAGAAGAGGAATCTGCAGATCTCTCTGTAGCTCTTGCTGGGTGGCCTCAGGCAGAGGCTAAATTAGCACCTCCTTGGAGATCCAAGAGCCAGTATACCCAGGGATCAGAGTAGGACCATCCAGATTACAACTTCTCAGATCCATAAGGGACATACTCAGGGGGCAGACTCAGTGAGCACCAAAGTCCCACTGGAGCAAGTCTTGCCTCATAAGAGTGTCTCTAGCACAAAATTCTCCCATCATAGACACAGCTGTTCCTCACAGCCAATTGGTGTGGAGGTCAATTCCTCCCAGTGATACAAACAAAAATCAAGGTTTAACTACAAGACTGTGCACACAGCCCACAAAGGGGTGCACAAAGAGTGTCCACCTCAGGTAACGGGAAGCTGAGCCACTGGGACCTATAGGACACCTAGCAAACAAAGCCACTCTATCAACTCAGGGAAGCAGCCAAAATGTGGAGACAGAGAAACAGGTCACAAATGAAAGAAATGGAGGAAAGCAAATAACTGGATAGAGTTCAAAACCATGGTTATAAGGTTTTTCAAGAATTTTCTAGAAAAGGCTGATAAATTTAGTGAGACCCTGGAGGATATGAAAAAGGACCAACTAGAAATTAAGCATACACTGACTGAAATAAAAAATACTAACACCCAATAGCAGACTAGAGGATAGCAAGAATCAAATCAAAGGTTTGAAATACAAAGAAGCGAAAAACATGCAACCAGAAAAAGAAAAAAGAATCCAAAACTATGAAGATAGTGTAAG